GTGCCAAGGAAAAAAATGCTGTGTCGCATTTTCACCAAATTTCGAAGCGTCGGCAAAAACACATGTCTCTAGACAGCTTTCTAGTAAAAAAGAATTAGATATGTATCATAAATAATAAACTAATTATTTCGATTTTTTTTTTGTCTTCTGCAAATCGAATTCGCATTCCAGGTTGGTTCATTCCGCAGAGAAGAAAAGATGAAGATGATTCACGCTCCTTAACAATGTATATATAATTTTCTTTGAATGAACGTTATACATAAAATTTTTTGAGTATTTTTTAGGCATGGAACGCATTATCGTATTTTACATTAATTTATATGGGAAAAATTGTTTCGCTTAACGAGTGTTTCGCATTACGAGTAAGATTCTGGAACGGATTACTCGTTAAGCGAGGTTACACATAGTTTTGTTGCATAGTGCGCGTTATGGGATTCTGGTGGGGAACAGAAATGTAGACATACATGAGAGAAACCTTGAGTGATTAAACAGCAAATTTGAGTAAAGGTTGATGTTACCCATCAGAGCTGTATACATAGATATGATGATGCTACAGATACATGAGCTCAAGGTCTTGCGTCTCCCGTCCTCTCTTACGCAAGCCACAGGCCAGCATAAAGAAGTTTGTCCTATACAATTATCCCAACTTCAGCCTCACGACGTTTACAACTGATCAGCGAATAATGCATGTTGTTCCCTTAGCCGTTTAACGTATCGCGAAAAAAATCAAGTGACCCACTCGCAGGTTTTGGAATACAGGAAATGGAGAGGCCTTATTTTTAAAATATGTGTTATATTTTAACAAGAGGTAGGTGCGTATGACAAGACAGGTTTATAAATCAGTGCGACATACAGGGTGTTTCACGACTTTAGGGCATAACTGCAGGAGATGATTTTCTAGGTCTTTGTGATCAAAAAAGTTCATATAAACATGTGTCCAATTTTGGACAGTTACGGAGTTATGACCGTTTTTTCATTCCCGTACACACCCTCGTGTGAACCGCGTCTGTCAGCTGTTGGTATTTGTAGTAGGCCACTGCACGGGCAAATCCGCTCGCCAAACAAATCAGATTTAAACTTAGACATTTTACAGCAGTCATTGTGTTTCAGATGTTTCAGTCTGTATGGTGAGGCTAGCAAGAAGTTCAAATTAATAAACAGTACTGTCAGTTTATTGGTTCATCTTTGTGCATATTTCTACTAGTACAGATTCTCTGTGTTATGCACTTCCTGCAAGCGGGCAGTGTTCAGTCTCTTATGGAGCCGAGCCCTTCTTGAGTTGCTGCCAATTGTGCAGCTACTCAAAATTCCTCAGCATTTTCAGGAACCTGAAGGTTCATCACCGTGTACACAAGAGCGCTCCGCCGGTCCCTATCCTGGGCCAGATCAATCCAATCCATACCATCCCATCCTATAATTCCAAGATCCATTTTAATATTCTCCACTCACCTACACCTTCGTCTTCCCAGCAGTATCCTATATGCATGCGTGCTACATGCCCTGCACATCTCACCTCCTTTACTTTATCATTCTAATTATACTTGGGGAAGAGTACAAGTTATGAAGCTTCTCATTATGAAGTTTTCTCCAATCTCCTGTCACCTCATCTCTCGTAGGTCCAAATATTCTCAACACCCTGTTCTCAAACACCTTCAGTCTGTGTTCCTCCCTTGATGTCAGAGACCAAGTTTCACACCCATACAGAATCACAGGCAAAATTATAGTTTTGTATGTTCTAATTTTTACGTTTTTGGACAGCAGACGAGAAGACAAAAGGTTCTGAACTGAATGGTAGCAAGCATTACCCGAGTTCAATCTCCTCTTAATTTCCTCCTGAATCAGGTTTTGATTTGTTATCGTCGTTCCCAAATATCTGAACTGTGCCACATTTTCAAAACATCTGTTACCTATCTTTATGTCCTGATTTTGCGGACAGTATTTCGTATAGAATATTGTTAGTATCTACTTCCATATGAAATGTTGTGTGTCTACCTGCCATCATTAAGTAGTTATCGCCGTCCTACATAAGACAGCGGCCGTTGTCGACTGTCACAAACACGGCGTAAACTGTCACAAATATTGCAACTATTAAATGCACCCTAATGCCTTATAACAACGATTCAGTACCGTTATATGAATATTTTCCTAAGGCACTGACCACTGTGTGAATTAAAATGTGAGACGTTTCAGAGGGGGACTCCGCCTTCGTCGTCACCTAGGGCCCAGTGATAAGGGATGTAAAAGATTAAACAACCTAAACGAAGCCGAAGACTGCCAGCCGGTTTTCGAAATACAGTACATTTTCTTAAGCAATGCACGATATTTAAACAAAGTTCTCCGTAAACGAATATGTGATATTTCTGCGATAATAAAACACTATCCATTACGAAAAACCCACCACACTTCATGTTACGTCAGATTTGTCATAATCTGCAGTATGAGAACGGCGGATATATGCTACATATTGGAATGACATTTTTATGGAGGTTTATTTAACAAAATACACCGAGAAATAATTTATAAGCCTGTATACTGTGATATTTGTAGTGCATTCAACTTTCAGACAGGAGCTATGTATCTGTTAGAAATGCACGGTCAGAAAATAACCCCCCTCCCCCGCCAAAAATTGATAATGATGCATGCAAAATATTGTGGCGTGCCGCCTAGGGCCGGAATATTTGGAATCAGAACGCATCCATTGCTATACAACGGCTAGCAATTCCTAAGCAGCGAAGCCTAGGAAATCGTTGCCCCGGAAATGAAAGTCTAACAGTGGGGTTTATACCATTACAAAGGAATTGTTTGAGGCAGACGCGTATTCCCGCAGCAACGAACTGTTTGAAGCTGCGATTGCATAACAGCGGGCGAAACTAACACTTGACAAGGTGATCCCTATTCGGTCAGAGTGCAATATATAACACCGGGTATTCGGCAAAAGACCCGTGTCCCCCAAGTGGAGGCGGGGTCGAATACCTCCACCGTGACCCTGCGAGTCAAAGGAGGCGACGAAAAGGGAAGTCACAAATCTGAGGCAGTAAAATATGATCGCGAGTCCCAAGGGACCCAGACCCGAGAAAGACTGCATTGGCAAGGGCCAGCAGCATATACGTACAAAAGGCAGACCCGTTCTCTCGTCAGACAGGATTAAATATCTGGTCACACCAAGACTTACTGACCGTCAGTCGCAATGTGACATGGAGAACCCATGTGGAGGCGGGGTCGAATACTTCCACCGTGACCCTGCGAGTTGTAAGAGGCGACGAAAAGGGAAGGCTCAAATCTAAGACAGTAAAATATGGTCGCGAGTCCCAAGGGACCCAGACCCGAGAAAGACTGCATTGGCAAGGGCCAGCAGCATATAGGTACAAAAGGCAGACCCGTTCTCTCGTCAGAGAGGGCGCCCCACAGAAACAAGACCGTAACTGTGAAATAGTAATATATATCTGGTCATGAGTTCCAGGTGGGGCTCGACACCAAGACTTACGACTGACTGAACGACCGACCGTCAGTCGCAATGTGACTTTGACTTGAGAACAGAAGAGTTCTTATCCGACGAGGGTTAAGGACAGTTGAGCTCAGCGGTGCAACTAATTGTAATAGTGAAGAGGAAACATCTGACGACGTTATAAGTTGAATAATTGTACTTGTGAGTGTAAAAACGTGACTGTTCAATAAAATATTCGTTGAAATCCGAGA